CATAAAACAAGGGAGCCACACTGGGTCTAACACAGACTAAGATACTGACTACATAAAACAAGGGAGCCACACTGGGTCTAACACAGACTAAGATACTGACTGCATAAAACAAGGGAGCCACACTGGGTCTAACACAGACTAAGATACTGACTGCATAAAACAAGGGAGCCACACTGGGTCTAACACAGACTAAGATACTGACTGCATAAAACAAGGGAGCCACACTGGGTCTAACACAGACTAAGATACTGACTGCATAAAACAAGGGAGCCACACTGGGTCTAACACAGACTAAGATACTGACTCCATAAAACAAGGGTGCCACACTGGGTCTAACACAGACTAAGAGCTGAGACATAACAGATGGTACGTAAGCCAGGCGAAGTACAAATGAAAACAATATGCTCTAAATTCTTTATATCATCCAGGGAGTGGTTAAAGTAAAAAATGTATTTTTTTCTTTACTTCCCCCCCCCCCATTGGGTGTGTGCACTGGCTGGAGAGAGACAGTGAGAAGGAGAGTGAGAAATCAGCCCCCTGGGGGAATGGCCATGCTCCAATCCCTTCTCCTTCATTCTCCTTCAGGAGTTTTTTTTTTTTTTAAAGATTTTTTTAATTTTTTTCACTCACTGTTATTATTATTTTTAAATTTTACCAGAAAGAGACATAGAGTGGGAAAATGAGAAAGCAAGTCACCAGGTCTGGGACTTGAACCATAGTCAGCCATGTGAGAATTCAATGCCCCAACCACAACGCCACCTGCTGGCTCCCCACTTCTGGGATTTTGGTCACGACTCATACACGCTGCATGCAACTTTCAAGCTGCCAGGTCCAGGATTTGAACCATGGCTGGTCATGTGGGAATCCAGCACCTTAACCACCATGCCACCTACTGGCCCCTAAAATATAAACTATATTTTAAACTTAAAATATATATATATATTTGGGGGACCAGCAGTTGGCATAATGTCTACGTTGCTGGACTCCCATGTAGTTGACTATGGTTTGAGTCCCGGACCTGGTAGCTTAAACTCACACCAGAAGAAGAAAATAGAACCATAAAACAACCAAAAAACAGAACGCAAATAGTAAGGTAATAAATTTAACCCTCGAATATATCAGTCATTCAAATAAATGTAAACACTTCATTTCAATAAGAAGATAAATTGGGGCTGGCAGGTGGTGTGGTGGCTAAAGCACTGGACTCGCACATGGTCGACCACAGTTTGAGTTTTAGAACTGGTGGCTTGCTTTCTCACTCTCTCTCTCTTTCTCTATGTTTCTCTTTGGTCAAATTTAATGATAATAATAAACAAATAAAATTAAATAATTTTTTTTTAAGAGAGAAAATTTTGCTATAGGGTGTATATGCTTGCCAGAGAGACAGAAAGTGAGAAATTACCCCCCAGGGGGGATGGCCACACCGCAATCCCTTCTCTTCTAGTCTTCTCTTGGGATCTTGGACACGCACGCAAATGCGCCTGGCATGAGTTCCAAGCTGCTGGGGCTGGGATTTAAGCCACGGTCAACTATGTGGGAGTCCAGCAACGTAACCATTGCGTCATCTGCCAGTCCCTAAATGAAAAATTCTTTAAAAGAAAAAGAAGACCAACTGTCAGACTAGATAAAAACCAGAAATCGGTCTAGCAGTTGGTGTAATGACTATGCTGCTGGACTCCCATGTAGTCAACCGTGGTTTGAGTCCCGGACCCAGAGGCTTAAACTCACACCAGGCGCGTGTGCGTGAGTGCCCAAGATCCAGAGAAGAGAATGGAGGAGAAGGGATTGCGGCGTGGCCATCCCCCCAGAGGGTAATTTCTCGCTTTCTGTCTCTGTCTCTCTCTGTCTTTCTGGCGAGTCCATGCGTCCTATAGCAAAAACTTCTAAAAAAAAAACCCAAAAACAAAAAAACAAAAACCAGTAGTCAAGTGCGTTCTGCCTATAAGAGAACACCTTAGATAAAAGGATACAGAATGTTACGAGGAAGAGAATGGGCAGGGTACACCAAATGAGCACTAGCCCAAAGGAAGTTGGCATAGATACAGTATCCAAACGAAACAGACTTCAAGACAAAAAGTATGACAAGAGTAAAGAAGAACATTTAATAAGAGTAAAGATTCAGGCTGGCACTGGGGCCTGGTGGGTAAGGGAGCCTATGTCACATGGCTGACTGCTTGGTTTGAGCCCTGGGCCCAGCGGCTTGAGAAACATGCCAGGGTGTGTGCGTGCATGCCCCGATCCCAGCAGGATGGGGAAACAGGGGAGGAGGCATTGCAATGAGGGGGATGTATTTTCTCCCATTCTGTTTCTCCCTAGTGAGTCCATGAGCCCTCTGGCAAAAAATAAACAAATAAATAAATAAACATCAATTTGCTAGGCGTTACGTCTCCCAAAGGTTTATGATTTAGGATTTGGTCCTGCTGCAATAGCGACTGGACAGTGGAATCACAGCAGCCTTGTTAATGGATTGACGCCGTCCCACAACAGACCCAGAGAGGTCTAGCTCTCGCAAGAGGCTCGTTCTCATGAGAGAGGTTATTACGAAAGACAGCGCTGCCCTCTGCTCTCTCCCTGCAGAAGCCCGCTATCTTTTCTGCATCTGTTGGAACTTTGCTAATCTGGTCTTTTTGGTTTCTGTTTGTTCTTGTGACATAGGCCAGCCAAAGTCCTCAAAGGTGGCCGTTCCAGCTGCCAGAATCGTAAATCAAATGAACCTTTATTTCTTTATAAATCACCAAGTCTCAAGAATTTCTTATGGCAACACACTAGTGGACTGAGACAACAAGACAATTTAAAACACGAGGATCTTTTCTACAGGTAGAAAAGCAAAATCCTAAAGAACTAAAAGGAGAAACACAAACACACATGGCTGAGTTCAGCATGCCTCTCAGCTCTTCCTTGAGCACCCCGGAATTAAGCTGGGGAAAAAGAGGCAGGCTAGTTGGTGGCATGCTGGTTGAGGTGCTGGATCCCACACAGGCAACTCTGTGACTCAAGTCCCAGGACTGGTGGCTTGAAAAACACACTGGGTGTGTGGGAATGTGCACAAAATCCTGAAAGGAGAATGAAGGAGAAGAGATTCAGGCATGGCTATCCCCCATGGGGGGTGCTTTCTCGTTCTCTTTCTCTCTCACAGCCTCAGTGAGTGCAAGACCCCTCCAGCAGATTTTCTTTGAAAAGTAAATCCTTGGCAGGACCCGTAGTTGGTGTAATGGCTATGTCGCTGGACTCCCATGTAGTTGACTGTGGTTCGAGTCCTGGACCTGGTGGCTTAAACTCATGCCGGGCGTGTGTGCGTGCGTGCCCAAGATCCCGAGAGGAGAATGGAGGAGAAGGGATTGCGGCGTGGCCATCCTCCCTGGGGGGTGATTTCTCGTGTTCTCTCTGTTTCT